ATGCACATGTGTGCACGTGGCAGATATGCGTGTGTGCGTGTGTGCGCATTTTTGTGTGTTTCAATTCGTGTGTGTGTGCGCACGTGTGTGTGTTTGAAGGAGACCGAGAGCCTAGCAGGGTATCCAACAAATGTGCAGCCGAAAAGGAATGCAGTGGACATACGAGCAGATGGCGCGGGACAGCGCAGCGCCTACGGCCCCCGGCCGCCTGAAGGGCCTCGCCCTTGGGCCAACGGCAGGGGCTGACCCTGGCGCCTGGGGTCCTGCAGGCCTCCTCACGGCTGCAGCAGCGGCGGCGCTGGCGCGCACCTCGGCCAGCAACATCACTACCACTCCCCTCACCCTTGGACCCGTCCGACCCTCTACGACTGCCCTTTGCATGCTCACCCCGGCCGGCCGCCATGCCATCAGATGCGCGAGCTGATCCAGGAGAAGCCTGAGGACGTGCTGCACTACATTGAGGAGCAGGGGGTCCTCAAGGTCTGCGAGTTCGAGGTCCAGGTGATGAGCTGAGGCGGCCGTCGGCGCGATCTGGGGCGTGATCTGGCGTAATCGATCATGGACAGCTGGTGGCCGGAGGGTTCCGCAAAGCGCAGGCAATGACACCGCCCCCTGGCGCAAACGCGGCCCCTCCTGCTGCTAACCCATGCCCACTTTGCCAATTCGCACGCGGCACCCTGCCACGACCCTCCTATAAGCCACCTCAAAGCCTGCACGCATGACATCACCCCCATCCGCGGTCCTCACCCCCCACCAATCCACCCCCCAGGACTCCCTGGCGTTCAAGGCGTTCCAATCCGAGGGCATCCTGACCATGGGGGCCGACCACTTTGAGGTCGACTGGGAGGCAATGTGGCTGGAGAGGCTGGCAGACACGGGCAAGGCGGCAGGTGGGGGGAATGCGGTGTGGGCTGGGGTGGAGGGGGGGGCCGCGGAGACCTGAGTTGCGAGGAGTGAGTCAGTATTATGCAAGGGATAGAGGCCGGGTGTTGGGCGCGGTGCTGCGCTGTCTTGCTTGAGAGTGGTGGACAGCCTTGCTAGTCGTGAGGGGGCGGGCGTCGCAAATCGGGCGGAGTTCCCGCGACTGGGACGGCGCGCAGCGGTCCCAGGGCACTTGCAGCGCCGGCCAGGCCGGCCCATTCCGTCCCCCTGCTGCCCCGTCCGCCGCACACAGCCCGCCCACGCTGCGCCCCGGGCGGTTTCCATGCCGTCCCCACGCTGCCCCAGGTGCGGGCTGGACCACGAGTGTGCTGCTGGAGGCTCACGTGGTCAACCTGCGGGATGCGGCCGCCCAGGGCTCCCGCGGCCTGCTGCAGCCCCTGCTCAAGAGGTACCAGGTGGGAGAGTGAGTGGACTCTCGTGAGCGTGCATGTGTGCGCGCACGCGTGGGTGTGTATGTGTGCACGTTTGTTGTTGCTGTCCTCATGTATGCATGACATTGATTGAATTGTGCGCATACAGTGCTTTTGAATCAGGTCTGATATAGGCTGCAGCATCTCTGCAGGCGGCCGCTCTTGCACTCGACGCCCCCTCAGCCCCGCACCCCCAGCAGACCTGCGGCGCCGGCC